TAAGACAATAACCAAGAATTTATGATATTTGTTTTAAGGTTCTGCGATTAGCAGTATCTGATTTTGTTTTGAATATTATATATTTACAAATATTATTATACATATGAGTTCTCTGTTAAATTTTTAATGTGATTAATTTCAATTTTTTTCAAATATTTTATCATTATTATATACCCATTAAGATGGAATGAGTGAAAATTGCAAGCACACGTAATTCAGAAGACGTCGAAAAAATTAAATAAGGAATAGTTGATACAACGAATAATCAGAAAAAAGCAAAAGCTAAGTTATCGCAAATTAGTAGCGTCTTAGATAGTATTAAATTAAAGAAAAATCGATGTATACATAATTTTTATGATTATATAAGGAGTATGTAAATAATTATAACCTTGGAGAATAATTTATGGATGGTTTGCATAATATAATTAATATAATGAAAGATCAATTAAGCAAAATATAATGTTTAATAAATTATACTGAAAATGAAATTATTAAATTAGAAAAAATGTTATATAATAGATTATATTCACTTGTGATTCATAGTTCATCTTTTGGAAAAATAAATTGCAAGTTGATATAGAAGAAGAAAAAGAGAAATTATATGAAAAACAAGTTGCAAAACTACCTAAACTACAAAAGTGTTCAGATGAAAGTGACTTGAACGATGGTAACAATAGTACTCTAGATGAAAATGATATAATTATAAAGCATAAGGGAAAAGGACTATAATATTATATTCAGAAACAATTATTTTGTAATTATCTATTTGTTATGGTATCTCTATTATTGCATCTGTTTGGAATGATGAGTACAATGTAGGTGATAATTCTTAATATGAAGCATTTGAGTGTAATACTGCAATTATAAAGTACGACAAATCACAGCTAATAGATGTATGCTTTGACAAGAATTATCGATCTGAAAAGAAAATATATATTTGTGCATATTCATTTAAAAATATAGTTCAAACATTACATTGAACAGAAAGACCACCAGAAATTATTTTACATAAGGAAGAATAAATAAAAACATATAACATTGAAATACATTTACGAAATTAAGACTACGTACTAAATATTAATTTAATAAAAATGAAATAATAATTATAATATATAAGTGTATATTGTATATGTTATATTTACAGCATAAATCTATCATAATACAATAACTACTATATATTCATATATGTGTAACATATATTATAAACATAATTTTTATGAAGACAAACAACAAAAATGAAGGTAAATAAGCACGATTTTATATAATAAATATTCTAAAAATAAAGGAGAATCATTAAGCTAAACTCTGAACACAGAACAATAAATACTACATCATAAACGCTAAAACCTAAACCTAAGATCCTGAACCCTTAAAGTGTATGATCATTTAATTTTATTGTCTAATAAATATTATAATAACAATAGTGTAATTAAATAAGTATAAAAAAAAAATATATATATATAGAATCAATTATTCTCCTTATATATATTTATCGGAGACATGCATAGAAACTGATATTTATATTTTAAAATACCTTTATTTCGAATATTCTTTAACTATATGTTGAGGTATTTGGTTTAATATTATATACGATTATAAATATTTTTATATATGTTAATTTATTTTCGTAAATATTTTCAGAAACTAAAATGTTAATTAATCAATACAGTATATGTTGTTTATATACTTAATATCTTATCTTTTTATTTATTCATTTTGTCTATAAGGGATAAACTACTTAAATTTTTATTTTGAAAGAATAATTCTACAACTAAGGGAACAGTAATTTCAGGTTAAAATATTACTAATAGATATATCATTATTAATATAAAATATAGTGAAACATGTTTAGAAGGTAATTTTATAAATTATAAAAAATAAATATAGGGGAAAGACAAAAATAGCGTTATAATCGTGTTCATGAATATCCATATAATATAGGATATATATAAGTACTGTATTGAATTTGATGCCCTGTGCACATAAAAATAATTCGGTGTATAGTTTAAAATTATACATATTATGATATTTATAATTGATTATTTTCATTTATTAAGTAAATATATATATTATGTTTACAAAAAATACCATTTATTCAATTTTTTTAAGAATATATACCACAATGGGGGCGATATACATAATTCATTTTATATCAGTGTTATTATATACTGTATTAATTCTAGACGTAATATTCTCCTAAAGTGATATGTCACTACGTTTATATTTATTGATGGAATATGTTAAAATATCTTATTATTTGTATTTTGTGCTCGAACTATATAAATATAGGAAATAAACTAATGATATTTCTATTATAGTTATTCATATGACGAATAAAAAGAAATAATAATGAAAAGCATATTTACTATCTTCCCTTATATGAAAAATTTTATATTTTTATGTAAAATGTGTTGGAAAGGTTTACCCTGTTCAGTTTTTACCACACATATATAAGATGAATTATAGCAATTTTTAAAATTACTAATATTTAAAATAATTAAAAAGAAGAAATATTTTATCATTGAAATCATCATACGTTTAGAACTTGTAATATCAGTAATGTTACTAATAATTAAGTTATAGACTTACAGAATTATATAAATGCATTTGAACTTAATTGGTTTAATATTTATTTTTACTTGTCTATATATATTATAAGAATTTCACCATCATAGTTAGGTCTCTAAAAATGTATTTAATATATCATATTTTCAAATCAGTGATGAAGAATAATAGAACCGCATTAATATGTAATTAATTTCAATTAAATATATAGGTATATTAAACACTGTTATTTTTTAATGTAAACAAAATTATATATATTTTTATACACAAAATAATTTTGCATCATAATTTTATTATATATAGGATACAATGAAAATAGATATAAAGTGATGAAGACTATTTAATAATATTTTTATATGTATATATATAATAGGGTTTAATTCGTTTAGGATCCTTCTAAAATATTTTGTTCTGCTATTTTTTGTAAATATATGTAGCTATTAAGTTAACACAAAAATAGCTAATGTAATAAAAACTACAGCTGAAATTCTTGAATAATTTTTAATGAATTAATATATTCATAAATAATGAATAATTTGTTAAATGATATATAATTAATATACTACTATATTCTGTGCATAATTATGTTTTGTTGTTCTATAATTATTTCATACATAGAGTTACCGCAAATAAAATTGACGAATCATTTATTTCAAATAAAAAATTATTTTATTAAATATACATATTTCTCATGAAATATTTCTACATAGAAAACAAAAAATTTTCTGTTTCATTTGGTTATTTAAAATCCTGTGTGATTTAAATAAAGAAATATCTTCAATATTCAGTTTTTTTTTTTTTTTTTTTGTATAAGCATATTTTATTCTTAATATTTATACTTGTTTTTCTGAGCGTTTTTATGTTTACTCTTTATTAGTATTACGTAAAAAAAAGGAACAAAGATTTTTACATGTATATATTATGATGTTATCTGTATTTTGTGTCAATTTTGTAATATAGACACCATAGGTATAAATAAAAATATTAATACACATAAGGGCGAACATTGTATAATGAAAAAAAAGAATGTATCAAATTAAAACATATAAAAAAGAGTAATAACTCCTAATGAATAAGAATTATACGGAATGGTTACAATAACGAACTATATAAAAAAAAAAATTATGAGGATATTAGAAAGCATGCATTATATATAAATGCATATAGCAACATTTATTGTATGAAATAATATTCCAATAGTATTTTTTATTTTTTTATACTTTAATAATATATTCCTGTATTTTATATAAATAAAAAAATATCTCTATAGCGTTTTTATTTAAATATTATTTTGACTAACGCAGATTATACTTTACAATAAATTTTCATACCAGTTATTAAGAAAAAGAGTAAAAGCTTAAATAAAACCTAATTAATATAGAAAAAAGGAGATGAAAAAAAATAAAAGAAATCTTTTAGTACTGAGTGATTAATAATTACTCATTAATGTTTTAATTCCTTTTTTCAGAGATAAGGATCCCTTTATTATTATTTATTAATAATTATGAGTTCAACTTTAAATTCAAATTGATATAATTTTTTCTTTTTTATTATTTTTCGTATTCGACTAATATACAAATAATATATATATTCCTATGTTTTAAAGCAATAAATAAAAAATTATAATATTTCTAACATTTTACTTAATTTTTTATTGAAAAAAGATTTTTTATTATTCATTTATTTTTTTATTTAATTAGTTAATTTTTTGTTATTAAACTATATACTGATAAGTTTTTAAATATAATAAAAGATACTGTGCATATTAGGCTGCAAAATACATATTAATAGCTTAATTTTTTTTATTATTTTAAAATCTTAGGCGCGTTTATACAATATATAATTTACATAGTTTGAATATTTTATTGAATAACACATTTTTATTCTGATTTTTTTTTTTTATATATCTAATGCTTTGATTACATATATTTATTTCATTTAATTTTTTACGATTTTTTTCAATTCTTCAAAATAAATTTTATAAATTATTTTATTAATAATTCTATTGTATTTTTATTTCATTTAGCTCTATGTAAAGAAGCATCAGAGTACTGAGAAATTAAATATTATATTATTCATATATGGTTCAATGGATTTATATATTTCACGTGTCTTTTAATGATGTAGCCCCTTATAACGTAAAAAAAATTTTATGCCCCTATTATATATATATATTTCATAAAATGGATATAACTAATAATAATTATTAATTTAATTAAACGTGTACTATCATTATCCTAAACATATAACAATTCCATTATTTATTCCGTTAAAATAATCTGTAATATATATGAATTTCATGCGTTTTTGTAAAATATCTATATAAAAAAATTAATATGTATATGGATGTAATACGTATACTATTATGTTTTCATATAAGGATTATTGTTATTACTAATAAAATGATTTCCCATAATTCTTATACATAGCATATAATGAATGCAGATATTCCTATAGATAAGGTCTTATATTTTTATGTTTTACAAAATTAAGCATTATATTTCTTAGTATTAAATCGTTATTACTCTAGAGATTGTACTAATATTTTTTTCCGGAAATGTACTTTTTGTTCATTTATTTATATTAATTCATTGGTTTTTAGAAAATATATAATGATATATTTGCCAATTATGAAAGTCTCTACAATGTTGCTAAAAATAAGTATTTTGGGAATAACATGCCGAGTTCTGATATTACCACTTTTTGTTATGGATTTATGGATAAAATGAAAAGTAAAGCAAAAATAAACGGCAATAGCTTTTTCTCATCTTGCTTGGGACTCGGTCGTTATTTATATTATATACAAAGTTTAAATGAGCTTGTAGATAGAATATCAAATTGTATATACTTCTGTTACAAATTAAAAAATGAAGTAAATAAATACTATGATAATCCTGAAGATGTGATGGCCTCGTACAAAAGTTATAACGAGCTTCCCCATTATTACCCTACAGATAGAGATGCCGAAACGTTTATTAAAGTATGTCCTGGATTTGATGATTATTCTGGAGATTTCACACAAAAAATTTTGAACCATTTAGAAAATATACAATATATTATAAAAATATTTGATAGTAATCATGGTGATGGCGATCCATGTATGGTGAAATATGAAGAATATATGGATTCCTTAAATAAATATAGAAGTAATGAGAGTTTTATCTCAATGCTTGAATATATTGAAAATTTATATAAAAATGTATGCCCTATGGAAAATACACAATTGGATTCATCTGAGATAGTTGCCCCCCAAAGCCAAGAAGCAGATATTATAACTACAGAAAGTAGAATCATTAAAGCAAAAACAAATGCATTGCTAATGACAGAAACAAATACAAGATTATATATAAGAACATTTTTTATAATATCTGTAATATTAATAGCTATATTTATATTATATAAAGTTATTTATAAAATTTTGGTAAATGTTTATTAATTTTTTTTTTTCTATAGCATAGGAATATATAAGTATTATAATATGTAAATTACAAGTTT